CAACATTTTAACCTTTTGGTCTCCCTTTATCGATAATACTGTTTAAGATATTATTCTATTGTATAAATAGAAATGTATGTATTAACCACAGATTACATCATAGGTGCTCACAATAATATTATAAAGAAATAAAAGTTTATTATATTTTTCATATTTACCAAAACTAATTTTTAAATTGTATAATTAGCACAAATATTTCTAAATTCCCTCTTGTCGAGTTTTAATAATTCTCAGAATTTGACTAATTGATAAATATTTCATGCCCTTTTAATACTTAACTATATGTATTATACTTTTTTTGTATATTCAGTGAGTGTTCAATATTTTTTACCTCATTATCACTTAGTGATATGGGTACAATTTAAGAAGCTGTTTGTCTGTCAATGACATGTCATGACATGTCAATGTCATCTGCTTTAAAACTGTATGTAATATTTTTCTTCAAGTTCCTGTTTAAATGATTTATTTGTTAAAAAGCAGGACCTGAACTTTTTTGACTTTCAGTTAAGTTTTGTCATATCGTGTTATCAATATAAATAAACTATTTACAATACAAAAAATTGAAATTTTCCACATATTGTCACAGTTACTAAAAGTTTAAGCAAATGCACTCTAAGTGTAATAAGATCTCCAAGTATAGATTTACGATTTAATGAAGCACCTACCTAATAACAGAAAGATGATGATATGATATCACTTACTATTCAATTAGTACGAATGGCTGTGTTATTTATATACTTGGAACTAAATATATTTGTATGCACGACATAGTGCACATTTCGCTCATCCACATTTACTATTGACACTTTAATTATTATGTAGATATTACAGATTGTAATTTATATTTACTTTAAGTAAGAATAATTTTGATGAACAGAATTAATGAATTGAATCTATGTTACGATATTTTTCCATAAAAATAAGTACCTCTGTAATTTGAAAAATAGTTCTCTTGGTGACTTTCTATCGAATGCACCTCAATACGTAAAATAAAATAAGACTAAGTATTTAAATTTATTTTGTGCTCATTTTAGCATGCGAGAATTGATTGATGTACCTAACTCAGGCAAATTAAAATTGATGAAAAACACGTTTCTTTATTCACATAGATAAGATGTGTATGTTTACAGGAACAACCAAGCAGAGGCTAATATTGGTTGTATGTTAAGACCTTCGAATATTAAAGAAACTATTCTGAAGGTAAAACATTGTTGTGATTCTGTTAAGCAGTGGTAGTCTAAAATACACGTCACTAATTTAGCTAAAAGGGTTAATAATTGGGATGCCCATCTAATATTCCGCCTTGTGTATTGTCAGATAGTCAAGGTAATAATATATTTTGACAAGGCGTGTGCCTGTGATTGTTTTATACAACAAGCTAATTGAATGATGTAAAATCTCAGAATAACATTAACAGATGATGTTTTAAATCTAAATGCGCAGGCATCGCCTAAAGCCAAAGTTGCCACATATCTAAGAGAAAGAAGCAAGTCTGCTAGTAGGTTTATATCACAGAACAAAGAAAGAGGTTAGAAGGGACTTCAGAGACCTTTTGTACGGGAACCGATGTCGCCGGCTCGCCCGCACTACACTTACACCTAATAGATATTAGCCAATCAAACGCCGTGACATCAAACAATCGAACCAATCGGCGCTCACACCCCATCGTAACAAAGCAATCGTTGCCAAGTTTTGGTCAACTAACTGTGGCGCGCCTGCCCCGCCCACAAGGCCCTTCTAACATCTTTCTGTGTTCTGTGGTTTATATATTGTTTGTCTATGGTAGATGAATTTATGTTAGTTTGATTATGATACCAATGTCTCCAAATTGGTGAAATTAATGCTTGTTTTATGGCCAAAACTTGGCCAAATTATCGTTTTAAAATTTCTAACTAATTTTGAAGTTGATCAGCAGAATTAATTGTATCCTTTCAGTGTAGAATATAATGAATGTAACGCGAACGAACTGTGAAGTTTGTAGTACTTTAGGGAATAGAAGTCATAGGACTGCATGTTGTTTGTCATGTTACAATTATTATAACATAAAACAGTCAGTATTCCGGTGCAATAGGTTCTGAATTCCTGTAACAGTTAATGTTATGGTATATTAGCTCAAAATCGATGTCGATGTAGGAATGTTATGAGTTACCTATTAATAGTTTTATGTTTGTGTTAGCGTCTCGTTTCTACTGTAGACGGGTTGCATTCCTACGTACGTGTTTAAAGTTGTTGTTGATCTGACCTCTACCAATTGTTGTAACCTTCACAATAAAGTTGTAATTGTAAAGTTTATAAATGTTTTTTTTTTATAATATAATTTTTCTATCCAAAGTTCTGTCTGAACGAACCTACCTATAACACACTAGTGGCCCGCAGTCTCTTCGCTTCGGTGTAGAGCTGTAGTGTAAACTATAGTTTTTGTTCTCAGGCTTGTTGCTTGACAATTATTTTTTTCATATAATTATAAATCTTCAATGAAAATTTATTGAATAGTCTGATTTGAAAAATCTTTTCGTGTTAGATAGTGCATGTATTGAGGAAGGCTTAAGGCTATATAATATCATGCTGTGACCAGTAGGAGCGGAGTATCGCTGTAAAATGTTGCAAAAACTTTTTTTGCAAAAATGCAAAAAAATGTGAGATTCTGTTGCGTGCGCTGCGTAAATGATTAAAGTTGCACAAAAATCAGTTATGACGGATTTCGTCCCCTTCAAAAGTTCTATAAAAATGTCTGCGCCAGCATATGCCCATCTTATAAGTTTGTCATACTATTACCTTTTTCATCAAATTAACGCGGGTTAAACCTTTAGTTGTGACGTAACTGTAATAAGTTAGACATGTGGTATCGTGGACTTTTTTGTAGATGTTTATGTCCTGTATAAAACCTTAGTACATCACTTTTCACTATTGTCTATGACATCTGCAGCGTCAGCACTCTAAGGTTATTATTTTCTGGTATTTTTTTCACACCCTGGGCTACATTATCGAATTTTTAATACGAAACCCTAACCCTTTTTTTAATAATATACTCTATAGCCTATGTTTATCAGGGATAATGTAGGATTCTAAATGTGTAAGATTTTTTCATATCGGTCCAATAGTTTTGAAGCCTATTCAATACAAACAAACGATCAAATATTTCCTCTTGATAATATTAACATAGAAAAGCTCTAGCGACACCTAAATTAGATAATTATGGATGATGACTAACTTATTGTTATGATTTTATTTATTTTTTAAACATTTAACTGCTAGATGTTCAAATCTAAAGAAAAGTTTACTAGAAAAAAATCTACCTACAATGCGAAGAGATGGCGCTGCCTTGCAGCTTAAGGCTAGGAAAATTTCGACGCGGCTAATAGGGCCGTGGTAGCATAATGGTTAGTGCATTCGCCCGGATAGCGAAGGATGCGGGTTCGAGTCTCGTCCGCTGCCTGGTCCGCGTGGATTTATTTTCTAGTAAACTTTTCTTTAGACTAACTTATTCTTTATTCTTCTGGCAGGAAGATAATCAAAAAGTATTGGACACGTATTTTTCTTTATTCACGTATTCAAAACATTACAGAGATTTAAGTATATGAATTTGAAATGAAGCATGACGTCTCGTCTTGGTACAATTTTTATTTAGGAGTAGCGTCACGAGCCCCCACTCCCAAACTTTGCCGTACTTTATCTTTGTTATTTTTTGGTTGACTGAAAAAAGTAAAAATAAGTTTTCATTATTTTTTGATAATATTACTGACGGACTTAATAGGCTTTCGTTTACTTTATACCCCGTCAACTTCCCTATTGGATCTGGCGGCAGTCAAAGTCACTATACTACCGCTTAACTGAGTCGTCGCCATCGGGGTAAAGCACATTCTTGTCAAATTTACAAGCGCCCGCCGCCCGCACCTCTCACGGCCCCCGTTCTCGTCCTCCCCTACACCCTGTACCCCGCGGGCGAGGTCTCATTTAAGCGGTTTACCTATAGTAAGCAGAGCAGCTCCTGCACCTGCCAGGTAAACCAACTCATTTCCAGGTGTAAGTAAATCTTTATTACCGTACAAGTTACTACTTAAAGGTACTTAATTATTTTGCCATTTTCAACCAAACGAACTTCTGATCTGCAATGAGCAAGGAACTTATATACTAACTGGAATGCTTACGAAACAATATGAAAATTCCAAAAATGTACTCTAACTAGTGATACATATAGTCTATTTTTGTTTCTACCTTCATAAGGGGGAAAATACTCCTAGTGCGACAGCGACGAAAGTGGAATCTATCCCTCTCTTGCAACTGTTTGGGCACACTACTAGAACGAGACAGATTCCACCAATTCAACTATGCTCTTGGAACGAATTTGAGGATCGCGTAAGCAATCCAGTTAGTATATAAGTAAGTTCCTTGGCAATGAGTTACAGGGAAGTTTAGCTCAATTCACAGGTTGAGGAGAACTTATAAACGGGATACGGTGTAGAATGTAGATGATTAAAAATACGGATATTTATGTATTAGATTATTTTTTATTTTTCACATCACAAGTATAACGCGGAAGAGATATTCTGATTGAAAATTATTATCTCTAAAACATTGAAATTCTTTAGTAATCAGATTTGTATACTGTTACAAATTTTGATATTGAGCATAACAAGCATCAATCTGTGTTATAGTGTTTGACAGAACATCTAAGCAGATGTTCTGTATGTGTTGCTATTAGTGTAGTGTTTGACAGATCATCTATGCAGATGTTCTGTATGTGTTGCTATTAGTGTAGTGTTTGACAGATCATCTATGCAGATGTTCTGTATGTGTTGCTATTAGTGTAGTGTTTGACAGATCATCTATGCAGATGTTCTGTATGTGTTGCTATTAGTGTAGTGTTTGACAGATCATCTATGCAGATGTTCTGTATGTGTTGCTATTAGTGTAGTGTTTGACAGATCATCTATGCAGATGTTCTGTATGTGTTGCTATTAGTGTAGTGTTTGACAGATCATCTATGCAGATATTCTGTATGTGTTGCTATTAGTGTAGTGTTTAACAGAACATCTATGCAGATGATCTGATGTATACAATAACCCAGATTGATGTTTGTATGATATAATAGCAACACATACTTAGTTCAAACCTTAATAACATAAATATCAGTCCATCAACATTTAGTCCATTATCTAGTTCAGGCACAGTGAGTACTAGTACTTAATAACAAAACGATGACCTGTATTGTTAATTTAATTTAAATAAGTATCTCTATGTGTGACGTTGACTATCATATTTATTAAGTGAAAATTGATAAATATACCTAATGCTTTAATAGATTTGATTTTGATTTGAATTGATTTATTTTTAGATTTATAGGGTCTTTCCATTGATAACTCTTATACATTATTTCATGTAAAGGACTACTTCATAAAATATCTAATTCACAAAATATACTTACTTACGTACAGTACGAATAACATCTAAATACTTAATTTACTACGTGTAAGCTACGAACAGTTTGTACCTCAATTTAGTATAAATATCAGTCCAAACAATAGTTAGGTATCATGTTTCGATACAGGATTATGGTAGGTATTTACAATTTATTTAGTAATGTTACCTACTGATTGGAATCTTTAAACACCATCATTATCACAAAAGAAATATGAGACTGAGAAAAAATCTATCATTTCACAGTAGTAGCCGATATCCTGTCTTTATCCGGTTCAAAACATATTATTGGAAAACTTCCTACTTCCACATCATCACCCGTAATTGGTTCTATTAGGACTTCATATCACTGGGCAATTATTCAGCGGTATTTATTTTAACAATTGTGTTAACCTAGAGTAATGCCTTTTTGTGTATTTTTAAATCTAATCACATCAGCCGTTTAGCATGATACAGTTATTTTAGATAATTATTATGATAACATCAGTTTGCTTAGTAGTCAGTTGGCGTTACCAAACTATGATAAGCCTGAGATAAGAATTGTATGGAATCCTCATTAGTTTCCAGAGAACTGACATCTAGTTTCTTGTCTGTCTTCGATGCTTTGTTAGCAGAAAGCATTTTCAGTTTAAATTCAACTAGCAAATTTGTGCGTTCGTTCTTTACAACAGTAGGAACATTCTCTTGACGTGACTTCGATGCAACAGTAGGTAGGCCAATGGTCTCATGGTGCATCTAAGTCGCTTTGTTCACACTTCAACGTTCTCAGTGTTCTGCTTTTCGTTCAGTAGAGGTGAGGCGCCGCACATTCTCCTATTACTGGTATATGCTACCACCACGAGACAAAGACCTGATACCACCAACCATATCCCACCCATATAGAACGTAAGGTCCCAACTACCCGTTACGTCGTACAACATACCTGAAATTAAAAGAAATAGTAACGATCATTTTATTATAATACCTAAAAGCATACAATCTGATCTATGATAAGCAGTTATTGGGCCTGATTCTGCTGCTGTTGTTTGTGTTGACTGACAACTAAAGACAGCAATCTCTCCTTTTCAGTATCAGATTCTATCATGATTCTATAGTCCATGGTGAGGAGAAAATTATCCCAAAATCAGACTCAATATATTCCGATAGTCGCTTGAAGCGCTGAAGCTCTGGCGATATTGTATGTTTCAGGAAAATAACTCCTACATATGCAGTGAACTTAGTTCAATTTATCGGCCAGCTTAGTACTGAGTCATAAAGGTTTTATTTTCCTCGTCGTTTGAGCAAAAGCTTTTCCGTGATGTTTACTCAGTCCTGATTCTATAACATTTGCGACCAGCCAAATTATTGGCATGTTATGACCAAAATATTTATATATTTACTTTAAAACTTTATCTGCTCGATATCATACCTCCAATAGGTGGTCCAACTAAGTGCCCAATCCCCTGAGCCAGCAGAACCAGCCCGTACGCCACAGTGAAGTATTCCATCGGGATGAGCTGCATCAGCAAAGCCGGCGAGTAGGAATACGTGCTGGCGAACGAGAAGCCGAAGACTGCTGAGTTGACGCTCAGCGCCCAGAAGTTGGTGATGAGTAGAGGATACGCGCCAACCGAAAGGCCGCAGACGATGAGGCAAACGGAGAATGCTTTGCTCACGTTCATCCACGGTTGATCTCCAGTCCAACCCAGACCAACCTGGAATGAATTGTAAAGGTATTTTTTTTATTATAACAGAAATTACAAAATAATGCGGGACTAAAAGTTTTTTATATCTCTTTTTTATAATTTTAATTTTTTAAGTATGTAACTGCTTGATGTTTAAATCTAAAGAAAATATAACTAGAAAAAATTCCACGCGGACCAGGCAGCAGACGGGACTCGAACCCGCACCCTTCGCAATCCGGGCGAATGCACTGACCAAGTAAAAAGTATTCATTTGACATTGTGGGTTACCTACAATCCGAAGAAATGGCGCTGTCTTGCAGCTTAAGAATGGCTAGAGGAATTTGGACGCGGCAGTCAGGGCCGCGGTAGCATAATTGGTCAGTGCATTCGCCCGGATTGCGAAGGGTGCGGGTTCGAGTCCCGTCTGCTGCCTGGTCCGCGTGGAATTTTTTCTAGTTATTTTTTTAAAACCATTCGAAGCTCGGTAAAAGAAAAAGAAATTTAAATAGGGATACTCGGTTTATTTTAGAGGAAAGATTCTGGCGCATTCATCTTTCATGATTATTAGAAAACTAAGATACGGTATCTATTTTAGTATTTTCCATGAAGTGTAATAAATAACTGATATTACTTAACATAATTTATTTAAAATGGAGTTTTAATTACGAAATAGAATAGAACATAATCGTGTTGCTGCCGGAACTACGTGATAAAACACAAAATGTACGGGAAATAAATAGACAAAAAAATACTGAGATAAACTCACAATCCCGATAGCACTAGCAATGCCAATGATGCTGAGCATTATTTCCGCTCCGTCAACGTCCCTGGTAGTCATGAAGGATTTAAGGAAGAAGTACGGTACAATGAACCACACCGAGAGGATTAGTTCGCACAAGTTGAACATGAAGAAGTGGAACTCGGTGAACATCTTGAAATTGAAACTAGTCTTCATTGTCTCCCAAAAGTGGTGGTACCATCTCTGAAAACAAATACGTAAAAGGATTTGTTGAAATAATATTTTTAAGACTGCGTGTTCTTCACGTTGTCATGTTTGATGATTTCTTGATGTAACTACAACTACATCATTGAAACTCTTCTTCATCTTGTCGTCGTTTAATATCTGTAGCTGTTATTTAATTTGTCACGTGAGGCGGGTCGTTGCGTTCCCTAAAAAATGGTTGAGCGAAGCGATGGCTGGTTCATGCGTCATGCTCGTGAACGGGTGCTGCCAGCGGAGATGAGTCTGCTCTTTCTTCATTGGGTACTATTAATCGTTGTACTAAACTTATAATCGTTCATTTTTTTTTGCCTAAACAGTAGGACACGGCATTCCTAAACTTTGTTAAACCAGTTTTTTATATAGTCATAATTTTAATATTATTTGCATTTGTAATGGAAAGTGACTTTATGAGTTACCTCATATTGAAGTCATTTTTCAATTTGACGACTCTGTCTTGTCTTGACGTCTCCCTGTATTCACTCTGTGTGTGAATACAGGGAGAAAAAAACAGCCCTTGCTCAGTTTCTTGCCGGTTCTTCTCAGAACAAGGTCTCCTGCCGTAGATTTGCGAACCGATGGCGTAGCTTTTCGAAATTCACAAGTGCTTGTAACAGACTAGACTGAATAAACGATATTGAATTTTGAATTTTTAACATCAAATATACTGCAAAAAATTCTTTAGGTTGGTTTTGGCTTCCACTCTCAATATTTTTTTATTTTCTCTTAGCATTGCAGAGCTTCATGCTCATTGGTGAGTAAATGGATAAGTTTCGAGTGTCCTATCTATCGCTTTATACGTATTCCTAGGAGCATTTCGGTATGAAGAAGACACATACAAGTCTCAGATAGGATGTCGAAAAATAACGAGTTCGAGTCCGTTATTCGTCTGTAAGCGGGATCGCCGTAAGTCAACAATAATACTTATGTCATGAACCACAGTAGCTATAGGAAGTTATAAATATAATTATCACAGAAAGTGGCTATGCATTTTAATTGCTGCTGTAACAATAAAATTTAAATATGGATAATGCCTCATCCTTAGTAGGTACGCGCATAGAATCCACCAAATTGGATGATTCTTTATTTTATCATGCATGTTCGTTATTTTAATGACAAGGACGAAAATATTTTAATTTTAAATATCGCACTGAATAATAATGTTAAACGAAGTTTGCCGCGTCAGCTAGTAATAACTATGTAAAAAAAAAATGAATCCCTGTTTCAACTTTGAGAACGATTTACCGACTTCATGTTTTTTTTTCAAGTTTTTTAACACATTGTACTTAGACGGTTTTACGGAAATAATAAGAATGAAGTGCGAAACGAAAGAATGGCCACGAAGTCGCAGACGAAATTCACGCCAATCAAAACGAGAATAGTTTGGTTTTTTTTTCGATTTGGTTTAATGGTACGGCGCCCTTTAGTAAAAAGATTTCATTCTTTAAGAAGTACACAATCTGATTTTTATATATAAAGAAAATTATACCCTAAAAAGATAACTTAAAAACTTTTTTTTACTAAAATTATTTGATCGCGAAAGTTAACAATTTTCACAGTGGTCGGTCATTGGATGGGTAAACAAAAACTTATAATCTGGAGCTTTGTAAAGCACGTTAATTTGGCCCCGGATGCAACTGCAGTCGTTAGCATCCACCAATATGCACTGGACCCGCGTCCAATCTCCCTATTCAATCCATAATAGGTTTGCAAAGCCTACTATATAATATAGTATCCTCCTATATTATGGGATCAGATACTATATTTCTAAAAAAATATATAGTAGGCGAAACTACTACATTTTGCTTATAGCAGACATTTGCCAGTAAAAGCTTTCTTAAAAATAAAGATTTAATTATTAAGGCACAGAGCAGTAAAATTATATTCATTTTAAAAATAAAGTAAATACTTTTAGAGGTAACAGCTTCGAAAATACGGGTGTATTCCGTAATATAAACCAGTATACTGGCCAGTGCTAATGACGTCATGAATCGACGCGTTACTGGTGAATTGTTCCGAAATATATTGGCCAGTTCACTGACGTCATAAATCGACAAAATTTTTAAAATAGTGCGAATTAGGGAGGGAGGCCTATGCCTCAGCAGTGGAGACATTAATAGGCTGTGTTGATGAGTAAAACCATCGAATTAGTGGTTACACTAAGAAATAACTGTGTAAGTAATATTATATTTATTTGATTCAGTGTCACGAACTTCACGCGTCCGTATGACGTCACTCGAGTGTTAGTTCCATTTGCAAGTCAAATATAGATGTAGCTGTGACTAACCAATTTCATTCGTCATAATGATAACTACAAACTTCCCTCGTTAAAAGTAGGAGCTAATTAGAAAATTTACGAAACGAGCACTGAAATAATATAGCTGACAGCTGACTTTGTTAATTTACTTATATATGTCTTGATCCTTTGTGTCTGTCCTACTTATTTGAAATGGTATCTCCATTTATTTCAAATTTTATTCAGTAAGATATAAGGTTAATTTACAAAAAGAATTAGACAAAACGTGTCTAAATGAAAGTTTAAATTTAATTAACACCCGTGACCGGTATGTATGCGACGATAAGGCAAAATGTTTGAAGATAGAAGACGAACTAACGTAGTCAAAGTTCAATAAAAATTATCTAAGGTTAATAACGATATAATCTATATATATAAAAATCAATTGCTGTTCGTTAGACACGCTAAAACTCGAGAACGGCTGAACGGATTTATCTTATCTTGGTCTTGAAATGTTCCTGGAGGTCTAGGGAAGGTTTAAAAAAAGGTGAGAAAAATTCGAATAATAGCGTGGAAGATAGTAAAAACCTCAATTTAATTTTCCCATTTAAACTGTTCTATCTTGTTTCCTGTCAAACATGATAGAACAGATAGACGTTCGTCCCTTTTGGTACGATAGACTCAGGTTCGTCATTTCTTCCAAATTATTTTAACCCGTACGAAGTACACGGGGTCAACTAGTGTTATATAAATATTGCAAAAAATCTAATCAAATGGATGGATCATCCATAGAACTAAGAAAGTTATTGGTATAATTGTTTTAAACTTTCATGGCCACCAACATTATATTTATTAGCGAGATTAATACTTTTTTTGCGAGTTCCAGATATTTCGGCACTGTTACGTGCGCCATGAACACGGAGTGACTACTACAGTTACTAATTAATAATTAATTTAGTATAAAAATATGAGTGAGTATTTGACTTGAAAACTTACCATTTCAACATCCGATTCGGAATCAATAGACCACATAGAATTCCTATAGATGTCCGGCAACGACGATGTCTTTAGTCTGTACCGAGGTAATGTTAACATAGCGCCGCGGTATATCATGGTATTGCGGTAAAGTGGCATATCCCTGAAATAATGGTGGTCAGTAGATATTTGCCTTGCTAACCAATTTGTTTCTTGATTACTTTTGGCATCGGTTACATTCTTACTTGAAGTGTGATGATGACCTTTGTGGTGGTGTTTGGGGGAACTATTAATATCCGTCTTGCTGTTAGTTGGCTCGTTCTTTTTAGAATCTTCAGTAGCGTCTAAAGGAATTTCTTCTAGTTTTTTCGTTTTCTCAGACTCCTTATCATCTTTTGGCATTTTGAGTTTGACTTGGACAGGCAATTTGGCAGGTTCGTTCGCTGCAATAGTAGGGGGTGTCTCAACGTTTACATTTAATTCCGACCGTCGTCGAGTTATCAAATCAGGATAGTTCTGCAATATAACGTTGTATAGTCTCTTATTTTCCATAAGCTTTTCGATGACTTCAGGTGGCACCTGAAAATAAAACAAGCAAAAATTTGTTTAAATATTAATGAATAATAAAAAAAAACACAACAATGGATAAAAATGCTATTTATAAACTAGATAAAATCCTAATTATGTTGATACATCATTTGTAACGTGTAACAACAAAGATAAGAATAGAGATAAAGACAATAAGCAAGATAATTATTTAAGTAATCACTAACTGCTAATAATATATAGGTCAAGTAAAACGTACCTTTTCATTGTGTTGTATAAAAGTTGGTAAATGAATGGCAGAATACATACGTCTGCAATTTTGATCAGCATTCATTTGAGTAGTCGCTTCTAGCTCTTCAGCTTCAGCGATAGTTGTAGCTAAAGTATGTAAAATGTACTCGGGGCTCTTTCCACTTTTGAGAAGAGATTTGATCTCATCAGCTGTTAAATACAATGACTCTCCGCCAACGGACCTTGAATAGGACGATACAGAACCAGCGCTCGACGATCTTCTCGATCTCGAAAGTCTCCTTTCTGTCTTTTGTTTTATTTCTAGCCATTCAGGAGTTCTCATTAGAGCACCACACACGCACATATTTAACAGAGTACCTGCTAGTAATACAACAGTGTTTCTCCAGTCATAGATTTGTAGAAAGTAATGTGTCATTGGTGAATAAATTAAAGTACCGAAACCGATTCCACTGGATGCAAGAGAAAATGCTAAGTTTCTTCTTTTGTCAAACCAAAACGCTACTGATACGACACCGGTCACGTACAGTATACCCATTGCCAAGCCAGCCATGAATCCAAAAGTGAGACATAACATTTCCACCGAATTACTTATGGCAGCTAGTAAAAAACTCACTGATGATAGGACACCAGCAATCATTGTCATTATTCTGCATCCGTATCTGTCTACCAAAGCACTCATTATAGGTCCAGCTAAAAGAGGTGTTGCTATAAACAGACTTCCTATCAAGGAGATTTTTGATTGGTTACCCTCAAAATACGCGGCGAACTCTTCCTGAAGTAGACCGTATGAAAATCCCAATCCATCAGCACATGCACATACAAGAAAAGCCGCGACTACGACTATCCAACCATAACCTCCATCTGGAATGGGTGGAAGCTTTAAGTCTTCTAAATCGTCGGAACTTTCACTGATGCTTTCATCATCATGAACACCTTCAAACTTCACCCGTTCTATAGGACGCGAATCATCATCGTCAACTTTGTCTTCTTTAGTGTAGTGCGCTACAATTTCATTGTCTTTTGATTTTATGGAGTTTAATTTATTGATATCGTCTTTAATATCAGTATCATGTGATTCCTCAGGGCTTGGAGATTGTCTGCCATTAAACAGCTTTTCTGTTGCATTTGCTTCGCTCATTTTGTTTCTATATTATTTCCAACATTGCTCTGATAAAAACCTGTAATAGAAAAGTACATTGATGATTACGAGTGCCGAGAGTTCTTTGCAAGAAATTCTTGCATTCACACATTTTTTTATTTATTGTAGATAATAATTATAATACCTATTATGGCAAATGCATGACTATTAAATCAAACAAAAATAAAATTCCTTTATTTAGTAAATATAACTTAAAGTCAATTTAAGATATGTAGATAACTGATTTTTGTGCCCCAATTCCGAGAAAAAAGGAGAAAAATTGTTTCTGATGAACCAGTATTCTGAGTCATGCATGGCTTGCATAGACTTTATTTTTCTTTCTGTATTATATTAATTTATTATGTTAACAGCGCGTTGTAGCGATACCAATATTCTCGTACGGGCCCTGCCAGAATATCAGCGCTGTTATAGTGGGAATATTCCCTTCCTAATACAACATCATTAAGCTGAGGCAGGGTCCTGATTGGCCTCTCCATATTGTTGCTTTCTGTTTGTTTTTTATTGCTATTTTTTTTACCTACGTATGTGTAAAAGCTTTTTTTTTCTTTCTTTCATTAATGAGTACAAGCTCAAGCAGTTATTGTTTCCAATGGCTTACTGCTAGAAACTGATTCATTCAACTTAAGTAATACACCATTGTTGCTATCTTAGCACATACCCGCGTGCAAAAGCACTAAGCACACTAATGTAGGGTGGATGTCCCGGTCTCAAACCAATTAAAGGAAATTATTAACTTTAAAATGTTGCTATATAGCCTAACAGCGATATTTATTGGTAATTTATTTTTTATATTGTAAGTTACCTAGTTATAAGTTGTATTTGGGAAGGAAAATATTTGATTTCTTTTTGTTTATTTTATTATTCAAGATAATCGGTATAAAACTGGGATGTACCCTAATTTGACCAGCCGGCCCCAGTTGTTATGAAGATTTGTACCAGAGGTTGACCATTTATAAAAAAGTGAAATAATAACTACATTCACAATTAAAAGCAGACGTATTTTATAATCAACTTTATGGTTTGGTCTTAGAACTAATTGAGATCAATAAGTAAATTAAATTAAGGTCAGTCTCAACAATCACAATAGTAATTCTTAAATCTAAATTGCAAATTTTCAAATCACCATAAAATAACGAATCATAACTTCACTTAAACTTTGAACTTTTTAAACAATCTAAAGTTTTGGTTAAGTAATTCTTTGTTAATATCAAACTTAAATATTTTTTTTAATTATTAAAAAAAATATTTAAATCTAAAGAAAATATAACTAGAAAAAATTCCACGCGGACCAGACAGCAGACGGGACTCGAACCCGCACCCTTCGCAATCCGGGCGAATGCACTGACCAATTATGCTACCGCGGCCCTCACGGACCGCGTCGAAATTCCTTCTAGCTATTCTTAAGCTGCAAGGCAGCGCCATCTCTTCGCATTATAGGTAAACCCACAATGTCAAATGAATACTTTTACAAGTATTAAACATTTGAAAGAAGAAATAGCAATTATAGTTATAATTTTTATTATTTTTAAAGCACGTAACTGCTTGATGTTTAAATGTAAAGAAAATATAACTAGAAAAAATTCCACGCGGACCAGGCAGCAGACGGGACTCGAACCCGCACCCTTCGCAATCCGGGCGAATGCACTGACCAATTATGCTACCGCGGCCCTCACGGACCGCGTCGAAATTCCTTCTAGCTATTCTTAAGCTGCAAGGCAGCGCCATCTCTTCGCATTATAGGTAAACCCACAATGTCAAATGAATACTTTAACAAGTATTAAACATTTGAAAGAAGAAATAGCAATTGAAGGGTTTTTTACAAAAACTACATAACTAACAATTTTAAGGTATTTTTTTAATGATGGCAATATGATCTATGAAAGAAATTACACCAGACAGTTTAATTCGATTTTACAAAAACAGTATAATTAGCACAGAATCGCACAATAAATAAAACACATATTTTACAAAAACTACACAACTGCGTGCAATTTTTACAAAAATTACGTATCTGAACGTAGATAAGTAGTTTTTGTGAAAAAATAAAACCACCATTTGTCTTGGTTAAGTAAAACTTTACTGGAGAATGGACAAGAATCCATGTACGGACAAAGCGTCCACTGCCTTTGGAACTGAATTTTAGTCCATTGCACAAGGCTCAAATTCCATTGAATCTTAATAAAGCTAAGGATAATCAGAGATTGAAACATTTTTTGAGTGAACCATACAAGATGATTTTCTATGATAAAATATGTGAAATTGTAGCAGAGGAAGGAGAAGATATGGATATTGATAATGAAGGTGTAAGTGAAGGAGAAGAATAAATAATAAGTTAATTGGACTCTATAATGGCTGTGATTGTTTGTATGTCAATAAAGTACTTAATTATGAATAATTAGATGTCTTTAATTCCAAAACTTTTACTTTTATTTTTACAAAAATACCATAAACACATTTTTTTTTACAAAAAGAACACTAGTACATACTAAATTTTATAATTTTATTCCATAACAGTAGGTATAAATAATAAAAAATGTTACATATTCAATCCAATACATTAACATGAATAAATTTTCAAAACTTCTATGTTATTAAATGAAAAATATGGTTTGGAGAATGTTTTTTATATTTCCTGTTAAATTGTTGCTAAATAGTTGTGCTGTTTTTGTAAACAACCCTTCAATTATAGTTATAATATTTATTATTTTTAAAGCATGTAACTGCTTGATGTTTAAATCTAAAGAAAATATAACTAGAAAAAAATCCACGCGGACCAGGCAGCAGACGGGACTCGAACCCGCACCCTTCGCAATCCGGGCGAATGTACTGACCAATTATGCTATCGCGGCCCTCACGGACCGCGTCGAAATTCCTTCTAGCTATTCTTAAGCTGCAAGGCAGCGCCATCTCTTCGCATTATAGGTAAACCCACAATGTCAAATGAATACTTTTACAAGTATTAAACATTTGAAAGAAGAAATAGCAATTATAGTTATAATTTTTATTATTTTTAAAGCACGTAAACGCACTATAATTGCTATTTCTTCTTTCAAATGTTTAATACTTGTAAAAGTATTCATTTGACATTGTGGGTTTACCCATAATGCGAAGAGATGGCGCTGCCTTGCAGCTTAAGAATAGCTAGAAGGAATTTCGACGCGGTCCGTGAGGGCCGCGGTAGCATAATTGGTTAGTGCATTCGCCCGGATTGCGAAGGGTGCGGGTTCGAGTCCCGTCTGCTGCCTGGTCCGCGTGGAATTTTTTCTAGTTATATTTTCTTTACATTTAAACATCAAGCAGTTACATGCTTTAAAAATAATAAAAATTATAACTATAATTGCTATTTCTTCTTTCAAATGTTTAATACTTGTAAAAGTATTCATTTGACATTGTGGGTTTACCTATAATGCGAAGAGATGGCGCTGCCTTGCAGCTTAAGAATAGCTAGAAGGAATTTCGACGCGGTCCGTGAGGGCCGCGGTAGCATAATTGGTCAGTGCATTCGCCCGGATTGCGAAGGGTGCGGGTTCGAGTCCCGTCTGCTGCCTGGTCCGCGTGGAATTTTTTCTAGTTATATTTTCTTTAGATTTAAACATCAAGCAGTTACATGCTTTAAAAATAATAAAAATTATAAAAATATTTAAGTTTCATAATTAAATTCACGTAATGATTCAAAATTAAAAACTGCAAAATTAAAAAAGGAATCAGATCCAAAAAAGATACTTGGCCATTTCTGGTACTTTATATGAACCTCTATTATTAATTGACACAGGAGCATTAATTTTCTCCACTATGCTGTCATTAGCATACCAAATTTTATCTTCTTTATCTGGCCATTTCAAAGTATTAGAAGTTGATATCACCATCGTACTAACTTCTTTACTCTTTTGGTCAATATTTCTGACAATCCCGGGAAAATACTCCCCTCGTAGTTTACTATAACATATGATCCTATTTCCTCGTCTGATCTATCTTTATTACTGTAATTAAATTGATCAAAGGTAAATTATCGTCATCGGGATCAGAATCAATTCTATTCTGAACTCTCTTTTTTACTCTTTTTCGTTTTGTTTTAGGTTTCTCAACTTTTTTCAACTCTTGTATCTTCTTTTTTTCTTCTCTTGGTAATTTCCTATTTTCTTTTCTTCTTGTTCCTTATTTTTTTCATTCCAGTATTGCATCCACTCTACTGATGTTACTACATCTGGCAATCGCTTTCTATTGAACCTTTTATTACCACCTTTTTTTAGTGGTGATTCTGCAGGCATTGTGCATTCTTTTTCAGAACTAAAGTCCCGTTTATTATGTATATCTGCTGTTGATTGAGGATCTGACAAGTTGCAAGCATTATTATTAATTTTAATTTCTTTTTTGGTGGCATATTGTATCTAAAACAAGAAAACAAAACTCATATTAAGAGTTTGGTCAATTATAGGATTTGTATGCAGTACCAATGTCAAACCACTGGTCAACTAATGGAAACGTAAGCAATTTACTGCTTTAAAATTGATAGTCGATTTACAACTCATATTCTGGACATGAAACTGATAAAAAAAGTAAAAAAAAAGAGTACCACTTCAGTGTACTAATCGTTGACCAATTGGTCAATCACAGGAGCACCTAATCAAATCATGTACCTTTTGTTAACCAGTAAAATAACTCATGAAATATATCGTTTGCATTTGAAATTCATTGGAAATCTTTATAATAAACATAAAATGATTACAAAAAACAATCATCCGAACAAGTTCATTAAAAAACAATACAAAATAAATTAAAAGTGTTCTTACCTTTCTAAACATTATCCTTACTACAAAGGCGGCTGAATGGCAACTGTCAGCGACAAGTCAAAACAAAATTAAATTGTAGCTTTCACTGGTTGTCTCTTTCTAGTCGTAATGTGATTGGTTGATTTGTATTAGTACCAACAAGATGTAGCCAACATGAAATGAAACGCTTAATCGCGGGAAAGCTTAATATTAACACTCAAAGCCGCAAGTGGTCAACAACCGGTGCGTGGTCAACTATAGGGTCAACCATCCTAATCATTTCTCATAGACAGTTGACAGTACCTATCTAACTGCTCACTTAGCAAATATATAGAGTTGGCATTTGGATTCTGTTACCAATAAAAATATATAGCCGAAATGTGTGAACCAGTATGACCATAACTCCTGAAAGATTGCACCGATTTGGTTACTATTAGGGACTTAATTCAAAACATTGTCTGTAAAAGATTTGCTTGGTAGTTTTTTAAGCCTACTTTCAAAACATATCGTTAACCGAAATGACAATCACATTTTTCATTAAAATCTTCATAATGAAAACTCGTTGAATATAACATTTAAAAATGCGTATTTTTTAAAGGTTTTCGCATCTTCTTTTTATTCCAAGTTTCAAAGTGTAACACGCTGAATGTACGTACTTATGTAATCTGACAGAGGATAGCACAGCTGTAAGTATAGATATGTAAATTTCGAAGCACGCGGTTCTTGCACTGGTTCTATGTATTGTTTAGTGTGTTTAAATATTTGTTTAGCGATTTCAATCAGCGTTGCTTTGTTACCTTCTACTACTGTAGGTTGTATAGTTTAAATAGCTAGAAACGTTGAAGGAACTAGAAATCATACCTCCCCGTATCTCCTTTGTAAATTATTTATCATTACCTAGAGAGCTACGGTAGGATATGATTATTATTTAATATTATAAATGCGATAATGAGTTTGTTTGTGACGCTTTCACTCCTAAACCATTTAACGGATTTGGATGAAATTTGATACACATGTAGATTATGACCTGCAATGAGACATAGGAAACTTTTTATCAGGGGCAAAATGTTAGTTTCCTGAGTTAACGTGGACGAAGTCACGGGCAGCTGCTAGTCATACACCGTGTTCCTGAGGATATACATTAACTTTGAATAATACTTCTATAGCTCTTGTTAAACATATCGTACAAGGAAAGTAGTAGTTTAAATAGCATAGTTTTTAAGTTATTCGTAATTTAAGTTAAACCAACTTAATTGTGTTGTGCAGTGAGAAAGAGTCTTTATCTGTGAGATGTTGCCGCTTTGTGCAACCAAAACTATCAAACTATCAACTCTTTGTCAATGGTCATTAAGTCATAGTTTCAAAAGTCAAAATTTTAAAAAACATTGTTGACGTCAAGAAAAGTTTCAAAAAGTTTATGTGGACATGTGAACCAAAGTTTCAAATGCGACATTGCCAGCTCAGGTAAAGAGTAATTCATATTAGATAAATTACATCTAAGCATTTAGTTTGTATGAAAATAAAAAATGTTAAAGAAATTGGAATTCATAAAGTGTGTAGTAAAAAATGATCAATTTAATAGTCTGAATAACATGCCAAAGTTAGTGTATAACCTCAGGAACACGGTGTATATAAAGTTATCTTATTATCGGAGAAATAAATCAAATTAAAGTTGGAGGAAAATTAAAAGACAATCCAACAGGGATAACGATATCCGATTCCATCAATGCTCTATTCCAGTATGGGTTGAAGTTTTATCTACAATATTAAATTAATAATGTTCCAGAATAGTAAAGTTAAAGGTTCTATGTATCGACGGGGTAGCTAATAGTACAGTCAATCTGTAGGTTGAGTGGTGAGAAAAAAACCTAAAGGGTAAGTCTTGTTTTTTCTGTTGCCAAATGACGTCAGTAAGCCACCTTGGCGATGGGCATGTTCAACTCGTAGGCGTTTTTTGAAAAACTCAAAAAAACCGTCAAAAATTTTTTGAAACGCATTTTTCTTGTTTTGTATTCATTTTAAAGCCTTTTTTTTCGACCATAATTGTAGAGGGCGTTGAGTACTACAATTTATGTCATTGTTGCAATCTCGTACAACAAAAAACGCACATTGTAGGTGGCGCTAAAGTCTCAAAAAAGTGTTTTTTCACTTTTTCACCCTGAAAATATCATTTTAATGGAAAACTTTGAATGGCAAAGATGTTTCGTACATAATTACCAACAACTTTTGTATAAAAAACAAGACTTACGCTTTAGGTTTTTTTTTCACTGAAACGATATTTTTTTCGACAGATCGACTGTACTATAAGGGATTCAAGACGACAAAGCCTGTAACTGACGTAGCGTATTTCATTTGTTCTTTTAGAAAAAACTGATTTTGTTTTTAATCTCTGACTGTTTGATTAAATCTTTTTTCACTTTTGAGTTTTACAGAATATTGTAGTTATTCTCAGCTTTGGTACCTAAAGCTCTTATATGTGTTTCTATCTTGCGGGACCACTCGTGCTTTACTTTAAACAGAAGTGGTAAGGCTTTGCTTGTTCAATATACAATGCGATTCAAATAAGAATAGGAAAGCCAATGACCTCCATCTGTCAAATGTCGCTTGAAAAGTACGGTTTGCAAAAAAATCATGGAACACTTTTTTAGCACTCAGCTAATTCTAGAATAAAAACCAAAAATTTGTAAACAAATATTGATAATTCTGATATTGGTTGTTTTTTTTTTCATTTATTGAGCTTTGGCTATGAATGATTGATAACCTGAATCGTCAACCAAATGCCACTTTAAGTTGCGTTCATAAACTCGATTTAAAACTTTCGTTTACATAAAGGATGCAGGTTCGTATGTGACCTAGTGCATGATTATTCATAAATACTCCGGCGGTAATGCAGATGAGCGGAATTGAAGAGCTAGATTCTGATTAATGTTTTTTCTCACACACTCTTAATAAATAAATATTATTAAAAATCGGTTGTTTTTTTCTCAATCTAATGTAAATAAGTTTTATTAAACAAAAACTTTTTTTGCTCACTCTACCCATTTGGTTTAATTGACAGCTATGACATCACAATATGCTGCCTAGTCGGTCCTATTCTTAGTTGAATCGCATTATACATCATGAATTTATTAATAGCATGGAATAGCATGTAGGTACTATCGAATTGGAAGAGGTAATCTTCTATGGCCATTCAAGCTGTGAAAGAATCAAGATTTTAAGTTGAAACGTGAAAAAAAGGTTCGGCCGTTTTTGTCGCAAAAACATACGTAACCCTCGGTGGGATACGATTTTTTCGAAGTACCGAGACAGTTAGAAACCCACGTACGGACGGATCCGTCCGCAGCTTAGCTCAGACTCACTTGCACCAAAGTATTGTTTTTTATGCAAACCTTTTCCTGACATTAACGAACCCAAAAAAATATCCGATTTGGTACAGTCGTTTCGAAGTCATGCGCGTCCGCGTGCATACAATTTGGCGATTCTTTTTTATTCATATAAATCCGGGATTCCGAACCTGTATTCTGTGCCTGGGGGTAAATCAGCCGTACTTCGGGGGTAACAAAGAACCTAATTATTTGATCAAATCTAAATAATAAGAAAATACTATATAATAATACTACTAAATAGAGCATGCGCTCCTTCTTGCTAGCGAGCCCGCGGGGTGCTGAGTGTGGGAAGCGGGGCGAGATTTTCTCCTGATGATGACATTATTAGAGACGAAGATGTAGCGGCCAAATTGGAATTTCTTGGACTGATGATAACGTTTAAATTACAGGGGTAACAGTATTGGAAAGGTTAGGAAACACTGATATAAATAGATACATAGAACATAGCCTAAAATTAATTACGTCGACAAAGAGATAAAATGAAATCTTTCAAAAATGTTGGGGAACCTTCGGTACACGTACAGTTATTTTTCTTAAGTAGGTGGGTGCTATTAGACCGCAAACAAGGGACGGTTAAGTTTGAAAGTATGTACTTATGTACTATTAAGTACATCTAATGTACAATTAGTTTACAATAAACGATTGACTAGGTATTACTACTACAGAATACTGATATAGAATGCGAAAAAAGAGATTCTAACACACTAATTAAACAATTTCCTATCAGAAACGCTGATTAAATAAGCACCTATACCGACCCGGCATGTGATAAGAATATTTTCTTAAATAACTTCAAAATTATTTGTACCATCTAAGAGGACGTATTATTAAGTGTTGTAAAAATTTAATGCACTTGCTGACAGCAATATTATATTGCATTAAAGGTGCTTATAGTTGCTGCAACTGATTAAATTACTTGCTCAATCAATTCAATTCAAGATCAATTGAAAATCTCCTCTTTTGGTAGTCGAAACCACTGTTGCCAGGTCCGATTTTCATTAAATTATTTATTATTTTTATATAATTAATTATTAAAAATCGGGCTCCTAGAATAACAGTACATGCAGAGGCGTACTTTTTCCGATTTGACCCCCCTCCCTAGAATTGGTAAATCAAATCAAGATAAACACCACTAACGAATGTGTTTCTTGTCGACAATAACATTTATTTTATAATTATTAAGGTTACCTACCTACATTATTAATGGCGGAAAATAAAACTCAACATGCAATTGAAAACAGAAAATCGTATTCTACAGGAGAAATTTCAGAAAAACAGGAGATTCCTGTAAAATCTGGAGACCTGCAACCTGGCAACACTGGTCGAAACACGAATGCCGCCCGCCGGCGCTTGCTTGCACTCCCTGTATTATAGAGACGCCACGCCAGAGAGGTCCAAAAACACTAATTTCCATAAACCAAAACAGACATCAAGAAACACTTTTTCACACTCACTGCATCTATGTTATCTGTTTACACCAGAACTAGCACGGACTCTTGACTGTGATAACATAAGTAAGCGCAAGCGCTCAGTCAGTATTATTTACTTTACTGCCACCGGCAACGAACTTAAAATAAATAAAGTCGATAACATGGCACATGTTACATTGACGCCGCGGCCACCACTCAACTGAAGCGACAAGCGACGAAGCGACCGAGTGAAGGCCAGACAGAATTAATCGACATGAACATAAAATTCGGTGCCACACAAAGGATTCTAATTTGGAGTAAACATAAATACCAATCGGCTGGTGATACGGGGACCCTTATAAAGTTGCACAGCCGTATAATATCATAAATTATTTTGCTTTACCATTATTTTTAAATTCCAAAGATCTGTTTGGTTTTTATAATCTTATATATAAAATTCTCGTGTCGCGGTGTTTGGGGTTAAACTCCTCCGAAACGGCTTTCCCGATTCTCATGAAATTTTGTGTGCATATTGGGTAGGTCTGAGAATCGGACAACATCTATTTTTCATCCCCCTAAATGTTAAGGGTAATCCACCACGAATTTTTTTTTTAATTTTTTTTATGATACATCATACAAAAATACATACAACCCTAAATTTTCACCCTTCTACCAACAACCCCTATTTTTTATGGCGGTTCGAAGTTCGCTGGGACAGCTAGTCTTATATATAAAATTCTCGTGTCACAATGTTAGTTACCATACTCCTCCGAAACCTGTACGATTAATTAAACGAATACGATAAAAAATGTATACATGTATATATTGTACACATAATATATACAGGGTTTATTTTAAAACACCAACAACCTCTTAGGGGGTGATTCGACCCATCAACAGGAACAACTCTTATTATGTGACCAAGTCTGAAATCGCGAAAAAAAATCAGCTGTTTCATACATTTCGGTCGATTAGCTGTATGAAACAGCAGATTTCCTTTTAAACGTGATTCCTGATTGCTAATTATATATGTATTTAAGCTAAACATTAATTATTATAATAATAATCTTTATTGCACACAAGAAATATGTTAAATTTCAAAAACGTAGGACTTTCATACAAACTTCCAACCCCCGCATTACCCCTTCTTAATAATATTAATGCCCCAAATATACAGAAAAACAGACAAAAATTCTAAAAACTATATTTTTGGCTTCGGTATCGATTGTAGATCACACCCCAAGTAATCCAAGTATTCTTTAAAAAAATATTCAATTTATAGTTAAGACTTTTCTACCATTTTATTATATAGGGTTGTTCAACAAGAAATTTGTTTTTGAATTGTGGCTACACCAACAATATGATAGTTTTCACATTTAGTTTTTTGACATATTCGTAGAAGATGCATTGGCAATTGTTACAATGAAGACAATTTCGCTTGAAAATCGAATTAAAATAATTAAAATCCACTATGAAAACAGTGGTTCTGTTACAGTTACATTTTGTCAAATTCGTGATATTTTCGGACAACATAATCGTCCTTCTGAGACCGCTATTAAGAATTTGGTCGTTAAATTTGAGTCGACAGGCTCGATACAAAAAGTGCCAACACCAACGCGTGTTCGACCGGGTCGTTCAACTGAACGACCCGGTCGAACACGCGTTGGTTTCAGTTCAGTTGAAAGCATCACGGCCGTGAGCCACAATGTTGTGGCAGATCCAATTTTGTCAATTCTGCGACATTCTCAACAATTGGGGTTATCCAGAACCACCAAATGGCGAATTTTGGCCTATTATTGATGACGTGGATATCACTGATATGCGGTTTCAACAGGACGGCGCCACATGTCACACAGCCAATGAAACGATCAATTTATTGCAAACCAAATTTCCCGATCGCATAATTTCACTAAACTCAGCTGTTAAGTGGCCAGCCAGATCATGTGATTTAACACCACTAGATTATTTTTTGTGGAGTTATGTTAAGGACAGAGTGTATACGGGGACAATCGAATCGATTGCAGCCTTAAAACTCAAAATCCGTGATGTGATTAACGAAATAGTCCCGCCATTTTGCCAAACAGTGATTAAAACTTGAATGAAAGAATCGACATCTGTCAGCGTGCTCGTGGTGGACATTTGCAAGATATCATTTTTCATTCATAATTGCCGAACTTTTCTCTTTGTAATTCAATAAAAAAAAATCATCTTCATCTATTTTTTTGGATATACTGTACTTCCAGGGCCCAAAAGTAAGAACTTCACAGTTTTGTTGGTTGTAATTTCGCATTTTTGTTGTTAAAAAGGTTTCTGTTAACCACATTATTAAAAAAAATGTCACACTTATGCACTGTTTTTTAGAAAAAAATATTGAAAATTTTTACTTTTCTTATCAAGTGGTGATACTTCACACTAGGTTAGGTTAGGTTAGTGTTGTGACCATAACGCGCGAGCCGAGCGAGCAAAGCGAGCGTGCCACGGCAGCGGCCGGCGAAGCGCCAGAAAAAAAAACTGTTAAAAAGACCTTTTCTACAAAAAAAAACAAGTATCACCTTTTGGGCCCTGGAAGTACAGTTTTACCATTTTTTTTGTTTTATCGTGTTTTAGAAAACAAAGTTCTTGTTGGAAAACCCTATAAGTATAGACACTATAGTTTCCTACTTCTTTTTCTATGAGTACTATTTATAGGTTTTTCCTTATAAACATGATTCCTGATTGCTAATAATGTATGTATTTAAACTAAATATTAATTATTATAATAATAACTAGCAAACCAGTGAACCAAATGTTCACCAAAAAAAAAAATGTATTTAATTAATTGAGAACTTCGGAGATTTTGTGTGGTTTCGTTTAAAATAGAAATCACGTGATTTCTCGAAAACCGGAAGTGCTACGTTACTCACATCCGGTTTGTAGTCTTATCAGACTATTCTTACCTTATAACTTAAACATTCTCTATATCTATCTCTTACGGTTTGGCCGCTGAAACAGCACCACGGACGGACGGACTTGTCTATTAGATAAGAGATCTTTATTGCACACAACAAACGACACAAGACATAAACTTATAAAATGAAGAAGAGTATACAATAGGCGGCCTTATTGCTGAACAACAATCTCTTCCAGGCAACCTATGGTAGAAAAGGAATTATAATAGAGAAATATAGAAGGGTCCAAAAGTAGATACAGGAGATATACTTACATAAATATAAGAGAAGCAAAGAAAGGATGTGAAATGAATTTAAGACAAAGAAAGGAAATAACTTAATTTATTTGTTTCTTAGGTTTTCACGCACATCTCTCATTAAATAAAACTATTTTTAACGGGTTAATGTACGAAACTTTATTTATTTATTGACGTTTCGCAGCCTTATCAGGTCTGCATCGTCAGAATAATGATTTTTTATTTAATTTTGTCAAGCTACCTTCGAAAGACTTTCGAACTTAAAACTAGTTTTATTTGATAACTTAATTTATTAATACCTACTAGGCGTATATTTTATTACATGTCATCGATTCTAGGGTAACTTTCCGCTGAAACTGGAGCGCCCGTCTGGGTAATGCAAACTATAGTGAATTGGACTTCTACAAATTAACGCAAATCTGTGATAACCTAATCAAGTTTTGTAACTCATTGTTTGGGAACTTTTGACATTAAGAATCACTCTCGTTATCCATCAAAATTTTACTCCAATTCGATGAATATTCTGTCTATGTGTCTGTTACATTTTACGCCTTTTAACGCTGAACCGATTTCGATTAATTTTGGTTTACTAATCTAATATATAAAATTCTCGTGTCGCGGTGTTTGTGGTTAAACTCCTCCGAAACGGCTTTCCCGATTCTCATGAAATTTTGTGTGCATATTGGGTAGGTCTGAGAATCGGACAACATCTATTTTTCATCCCCCTAAATGTTAAGGGTAATCCACACCAAATTTTTTTTTTGCAATTTTAGATTTTTTTAAAAAATTTTTATGATACATCATACAAAAATACATACAACCCTAAATTTTCACTCTTCTACCACCAACCCCTATTTTTTTATGGCGGTACGAAGTTCGCTGGGTCAGCTAGTTTTATTATAATATTGTTGTCGATTCTGGCATGATTCTCTAAAGCTATACTTAAATTTGACAACAGTGCTTCCTTGTCCTTCTCTATACAGAATGACAAGGAGAGACTGATGTTATATTAAGTTTTAAGTTTAGAAAATCCCGCCAAAATGGACACCATTATCTATTTTATTTATTAAACAACACTTGCTGAGTTTTTCGCTGGTTTTTCTTAGTAAACATTCTCCTGCCGTATATTTGCGAACTGATGGTAGTTCTGGAGCTCAATGCGCAAGTGGTTAGCGTTCGGCTGCGATCGTTGAAGTTAGATAAGCAACTTCAGTGGTCGGTCATTCGATGGGTGACCAAAAATTTATTATCTCGAACTCCTCCTTGCTTCGGAAGGCACATTAAGCCGTTGTTCCCGGCTGCATCTGCAGTCGTCAGCACCCACCCCCACCAATCCGCACTGGGCCCGCGTGGTGGGTCATGGCCCAATCTCCCTATTCCATCCATTAATAGGCTGATGATGATGGTAGTTCCACATTCATTAGTATTTGTAGGTAGCTGCCTAAAACTGAATAAGCGATATTGAATTAAAAATTTATATTTCATCCCACCACCTCGGAAAGTGTAATTTTGCGCTTCGAAATCTGGCTGGAAAATTCTATTTTATTCGCTTGAGCGGCAAAGTAGATTTGAATTTAGAACATCACATATAATGAGTACTCAATATAATTGTAAATTCAAAACGTCATTAAACCTATTTAATGTAACCTCTATGGTGCCAAATTTATGATTAGAACTTTTTAAATTGTGAAAAAATTTAAATTTGGAACCTTCTTGGTTTCTTTGTTTTATTTGCGTGCTTCGCGCCATTCTAGTTTTTCACGTTTTATTGCTTAAATATTTTGTCATTATAAATTGTTTTCTTTTTCATTTTGTCATTTCCTCGCTGAGGTGGGATGAAAAGTTACGTATTGCACTCGAGTGGAAAGATTTTTCACCTTGTGCTCGTTTGTTTCCTTCGCTTGCTCGGTCATCCAAATCGAGCACGCGGTTAAAAAGGAACTTTCCACTCTTGTATAATAAATAACTAATTTCTGTAAAATAAATCTATCTTACCTATGATAAGTTGTGATTCACGCACTATTAGCTCATTCACAGAATACGTACCTACACTAACTAGATTAGATACTT